AGAGACTCCAGAATATACCTGCAAGTCCTTGGAGGATCTCAAGCTACTATTTAGAAAGGCCCCAGCCCCCTCCAGCAAATAGGTAGACAAAAACCATCAACTTCCAGATGACTGCTCAGGCTGTTATCAACCTCTGACTGAGTCCAAAGTCTCCAGCCCACTGGATCTGGCATCAGCCAGGTTCTGAAGTCTGACCCCTTGAATGGGACCCAGAGAGGCAGGGACAGCTCTACTTCCCTTGCCAGCAGAAAACAATTTCAGAAGCTGAGATCTTTACCCCTCACCCCAAAAGAAATTGGGTCTCATTTGTTTGAGGGGAAATGATGGGGTACAAGCCCAAGCCCATTTGTCTGTGGGCCCTAGAAAACCCCACCTTGGAACTCCCCACTTTATCAAGGAAGTCTCTATAATTCCCTTGAAACTATAATCCTGTCAACTGGCCTTTCCTTATTGCCTGAGCCAGATTTCTCAATTCTCTGTTACCCTTAACCTAACCCAGCCCTGTATTGTCTGTTACCTCTGGATGGCTTCAGGCTACTTTCCATCCTTGATCCTATCTAGACCCCATTCTGCCTCCCAATCACTCCCATGAAGATCCTCCCTAGACCCCTCCTCCTTTCACCCCAGCCTACTGGCTACTCCCATCAAGATACTCCTCTCAGACCACCTCCTCCAGGCACCCCAAACTACTTGTCCACTCCTACATCCCTCCCATAGTCTTATTGTATATAAGATCCATCTTGGCTGCCATTAGGGTGCTGAGACTTACTGTAGCCCGTTTGTCAATGCGAGCGTTACGTATGTTTCAGTTCCTTAAGAGTCTGGCCATTATGGTGGGTCTTTAATAAACCTTGTCTTTGGCTGAAAAAAAAAAGATAAAATAGGAAAAGAAAAACTGTTGACATAGAAAAAAATATTTACACTAAAGAACACTGACAAAAGTCTGAGAACCAAGATGTGTAGGCAATTGACTAAAGTATAAGAAGGCCAACAGCCATGTCCACTAATTAAGTGGTCAAAGGACAAGAAAAAACAGATTTTAAGATTCTTATAAAGTATTAAAGACCTTTTGAAAGCATGGTCCAGGTCATTAATAGTAAGACAAAAATGTTTTGCCTCATTTCTATAGCTTGTCAAAGATGATACAAAAGACAAAAATATTCAGTGTTGATAGATCTTTGGGAAGATAAGCATACTGATATGTTGCTTTTGGAGCTGAGAGTTGATCTGAGATAACAGTTTGCAATGTCATATTAAAAAGGGCTAAAATTTTCATATCCATTTAACCCACTTTTCCCATTAACTCTCCTAAGGAGATCAAAAACAAAAACAAAGGTCCAACATATACCAAAACAGGCATACTCTTACTGGTAGCAAAAGACTATTAACAAAATACGCATCTTTGGGGGATTATATGAGAAAACTGTGGTATATAGGTATAATAAAATATCCCATTAAAATGACAAATATGAGGAATTCAAATGTAAATGACAATATTTGTATGAACTAATGCAGAGTAAAATAAGCAGAATATGTGAGCAGTATATATAATGACTACAAAAATGTAAATTTTAAAAAATCACTAAAGGAAGTCAGAGTCTGGGGTAATTGAGAAACTAAAGAAAGTCCTTGAGAACAAATAGCGACATAGAACTCTTTCATCACAGTAAAATAATGAGGAGCTTCTAAGGTAGAATGTTGAATACATTGTCAAACGCGAACACTATTGGATTGCTTAATTTGTTTAATGATTTTTCTTTGTTACAGATAAAGGTTTCATTCAGGTATGGAGGGTAGGAAAAGTGTAGTATTTTTTAAAATAATAATTTTTTTAAAAAGGCATCAGTAAATATTTTATTGATCAAAAATTTTTAAAAGATGGAAGAAATTACAGTACTTAAAGTGCTTGACTACCTAAAAATAAAATGTTTTGGGAAAAAATTTTTTTTAAAAATCAAGAAAAAGATTTATGGCTTCTATAACCAATAAAAACTTGATATCCAGGAATTTTCTGGTGAGGAAGTTCTTTCTACCAGTTCAAATTGTCATATTCTCTATAACTTAAAGTCTTAGGGAGGTAGTCATAACTCTGAAGGGGTTATGTGACTTGTCTAGAGCCATATATTCAACATCTGTCAGAGGAAGGGTTTGAAACCATGTCCTCCTGGCTCTGAAGTTTGCTCTTTTTCCATTATACTGTGCTGCCTTTCTAAAATAAAATAAAATTTAATTAAAAAAAAACCAACATCTAAAAATGTTATGAAGAAATATTCAAAATTTATAAAAGTTACTCCCAGTCTTCAATTTATAAATGGTCAATAGATATTAACAATTTAGTAAAAATGTTCCACCTTTTAAATTTTGAGGTACCACCTCACCTATAGATTCAGCAGAAAAAAATAATTAAAAGCAATGAAATGTAATGCTGGTAACGTTGTGTAGAAACAAGTGTGCTCATTCATTACTGATGGAAATGCAAACTTGTTAAATTTTTTAGAGAACACTCTAGCAATATGCAATAAAAGTAAAAGAACTAATTCAGCCCTTTGATCATATAATTCCAGCGCTGGGAATATATCCAAAGAATTGTCAAAAGCAAAAATTTTCATAGTTGAATTGGTTGGGTTTTTTAAGGGAAATCCTAGAAGATCGACAGGTTAAAATCATATAGAGAAATATCTAAAAACTCACGAAATAATGGGAATGAGGGGTACACGGGAAGGCAGAACTAAAGGAACAGAGTGCATGTAAATTATGACCATACAAAAAGAAATGTGAGCAAAAATGAGCGGAAGGAAGTACTAAAAATTATGATGGTTAGTGCTTTGAAACTAACCTGTTTAAGTGTAAAAAAAAGTCATAAGGCAGGCTTAGTTAGTTTTAGTGATATTTAATATTAAGTTTGAGGAAAGAAAAGAACACATACCTTACAGAACCACTTAAGGATATGGCATTAAGAATGGAAGTTTTGAAGACTGAGAGTTGAGTGTATATATTTAATGTGTTTGTCCTGGCTATACTTAGTTCTCTACTAAAATACTTTAGACATATTACTTGTGAGTTAGTATTATTATAGATTTTCTGGAATAGGAATTCAAATGTCATTTGTAAGTTTAAGGTAAGCTTAAAAAAACAAATAATAGAATTTTTGGCATTAGAGTACTGAGTGAATAAGACTTGAACTTAATATTGGCTACTTTATCTAGCTGTAGTGTTCTGTATTGATTTAAATATTTATTCCAACTTGGTGCTTTAAGTTTTTTTGAGAGCTTAATTCTTGTTCTGTCCAAAAGCATTTTGTTAAAACATTGGCATTTTAAAATCCATGGCAAAGGCTGCATGAAATAAAATTTTCCCCCTTAATTTAAACACCTCAGAAAAGTACATTTCTATACACACAACAAAACACTCCGAAAAAGGATTCTATATGACGCTTTGAATGTTCATTTCATGCAATTCGTATGTGTGTGTGTGTGTCTGTGTAATAAATTGTGTTACTTTTAAAACTCCTAGTTGGCTGTGCTTCCTTCTCTTTTTTGCACATTTTAAAATGTTTCAATGGCCGTCCTTTTTTTTTTTTGCGTCATGTTACCAGTTCTGTCTTTAAAAAAAAAAAGCCTGGAAACAAATAAGCATCATCAAACAAAAAGCCACACAGGGGCCATGTCCAAAAACATGTCTCTGCACCTTGTATCTATCTCTTTTGTCAGGAGATGGTTAGCATGCTTCATCACAGGCCCTCTCAAGACGTGGTTGGCAATCGCATTTATCAGAGTTCCAAGCCTTTCAAAGTTGTTTTTAGTGTTGTCTTCATATATAAATTATTCTCCTGGTTCTGCTGATTTCACTCTTTTGTCAGTTCAGACTACTCAGGATTCTAATATTCTCTCTTTTGTCATTCCTTACAGTTCGATAATAGCCCATTATATTTATAAACCACTGTTTGTTCAGCCATTCCTTAACTAAGAGGCAATCTAAAGTGCCCCCTTAGATTGTGTTTCTTTCTCTTCTCCCTCTTCTGATTTCCTCTTCAGGATCAAGAAGTTCATTTTGCTTTAAGTTATTCCCTCAATATTTTCCTCCCTTCCTGTTCTCCCTACCCCCATGACCTTGTTCAGTGTGGATATATTTCTGTACGATTGTATTGTTTGGCTCTCCTTTGTTCATTTGGTACATTCCTGGCTTGCTTCCCTGTTGAGTTTGGATGTATTCTGACACCATGTTCGTGTGTGTGTGTGTGTGTGTGTGTGTGTGTGTGTGTGTGTGTGTGCGTGCGTGTGTGTGTATGTGCGTGCGCGTGCAAAAAGCACTGGTTCGGGTCCCACCTCAGACCTTACTAGTTCTGTGACCCTGTTCAAGTTACTTAATCTTTCATTGTCAAAACATTATATATGGCCCGAGGCTACAAGTCTGTAAGTTGAAGAAAGGTTGTATAACTCTATTAGTATGGGGACTTTTTCACCCTGAGAGGTCCGGAAAGCAGTGAAATCACAGATCCAAACCAGTTAAAAAAAACACAAAAAAACAGAGAAACTGTTCTTGGTGGATTTATATGAATTATAAGAACTTGAGTGTGCGCCTCTCTCTACATTTTATCAAGGTTTACTTTTTCAGGTGCAGGTTTAGATTCTTGTTTTTAGCTTGTAAATTAGACATTTGAACATTCACCTTCTGTCAAAAGTGATCCAAATAGGGGCAGCTAGGTGATGCAGTGGATAGAGCACTGGCCTTGGAGTCAGGAAGACCTGAGTTCAAATCCAGACTCAGACACTTGACACTAGCTGTGTGTGACTTTGGGCAAGTCACTTAATCCCATTTGCCTTGTGCCCCCCTCCCCAAAGTGATCCAAATAGCAAATTCTTTCCTTCACCCAGTTGTTTTCTTTTCCTTTCCCCACTAAGCCAAGAAACAAGTATATTTATTTTCTTAGAATTAATTTTGTGTGTTGTAGCCATTATCTAATGTGAATTTTTATTATTTTTTTCCTCCCAATTTAATAGTCCCAATGACAGGTTTTACACAAAGAGCAACCATTGATCCAGAACTGAATGAAATACACGTTCTGTCTGGACTCAGCAAAGACAAAGAGAAAAGAGAAGAGAATGTCAGGAACTCCTTCTGGATTTATGACATTGTGAGAAATAGTTGGTAAGAAACAGTTATGTGTGCTGAAATCCCAAGGCAGAGTTTGTTTGTAATAGGCATTTATCCAATCTTAGAAAAATGGGGGAAATGGAAGATCTGTTAATTTATAGAGAAATACATTAAAAGACTAGTAATTACTTTGTGCCAGTTTACACACAATAGAGTTCAGTTCAAAAAATATTTATTAAATGCCTACTATTTGTAGAACCTTGTATTATGTGTAGGGAGATAAAAGGATTAAATAAAATGAGATCCCTGCTGGGTAACACCTCAAAGTCTTACACTTGAAAGTAAACGATAGTGCTTGGAAGATTTTCACTTTGTAGAAAGAATAGTGGGCTGGGAGTAAGAAGACCTGGGTTCTTATTTTCACTCTGTTACTAACTAACTGTGTGCCTTTTGTCAGGTTAACCTCTCTGAATTTCATCATCTGTGATGTGAGAGGGTTTACCTAGATGGTCCCCTTCAGTAATTCTGTGATCATTCTTTGATCTGTGGGCTAATACAATGAATACAGACCCTTCAAAGAACTCCCTCACTAATATTTAGAGTGGGACTCAGCAACAAAGAAAGTAACTGCTTTCAAGATAGGACATTTATTTGCTGAGGGAAAAAACAAAGGAACCTAAATGCAAGCCTTTTATTGCTGTTAAGCAGTTCCCTTTCTTTCTTTTCTCCATTTCTTTTTTCCTTCCTTTCCAAAGATGCATCTACTTTTTCTCAATGCCCTAGAAAATGAGCCCTGGAAATGAGTTGTTTCAATTTAGCATACATACTATTAAGCACCTACCGCATAGAAGATGTTATATAATAGGTGCTGGTTTCTATTTGGAAGATCTTACTTATATTGTCTCTGTAAGTATTCTTGACTGAGCCTTGGCTTCAGGAGCAGTTTGAATGAGCAATTTGAGATTGCCTTTTTGATTAAGATCTTAACTTCAGAATTCACTGTTAGCTGATCCTTTCTTTAAAAAATTTCCTTATTATATCACACATGGTCCATCTGTTAGTTTTGGTGACCTGCTTTTTTCTTCTTTCTTTTATTTTGTAACAAGAGATGCCCTGCTAAGCAGGTGGAGGAAGCAGGGATCTACTTGGAAAGGAAGATGCTATTTAAAAAAATTTATATATATATATATATATAATATATATATATATATATATATATATATATATATATTATATATTATATAATATTTATTTATTTATTTATTTATTTATATCAATAAAATTTTTAAAATGAAAAGATCGTACACAAATAGAATCTCCCATCTGCCAATCCTTATTAAATATGCAATTTTATTTATTTGCTTTAATTCCATTTGCCCTATGTTTCCTACTAATCTTATTGAGGCAGTGCCATAATGGCAATTTGTATTGCAGGTCTTGTGTCTATAAAAATGATCAAGCTGCGAAGGATAATCCAAGTAAAAGTCTTCAGGAGGAGGAACCATGCCCAAGATTCGCCCACCAACTTGTGTATGATGAATTACACAAGGTACTGTTGTGCAGTCTGCATATAAAATATCTATGGCATACTAGCTAAGGTGGCCTCCCCAAAAAATTCTGGCCATTGGTTTCCTATCAGTTGTATAAAACTTATTTGAGAAAAATATAAATAGTGTATTGAACTTTTTAGGATTCAGTCAGTGCCATCAGTATAGGACATCTTTTTCATAGTGGTTGTTAACTGTTTGCCTTTCAGCTGCTCACAGCTGACAGATGATACATCATAAAGGGAGACTTGTTGCCAGCGATACAAAACAGGTTAAAAGTTGTGGTTTTTTTCCTTTTTCCATAATTGTATGGTGTGAGTGTCTCTCTCCATGGAAATAAATCATGTAGGTTCTCATTTTCAACCAAAGGAATCATTTTTATCTGCTGGTTGGAATGAGTCATTTGCTCCCTTTGATCATCGCAGTAACAACAGCGAAGGCAAGGGTGATTTATAGCTTCTGACATCTAAAAGTGTTCAAGTGTTTGAAAAGATATCTTTTGACTTACCAAAGCCATTAGCTCTAGTTTAGTGGTTTGTATTTTACAGAGTCAGTATTGTTGCTCTTTGTTGGAGAAGAAGTGAATAAATGGGCCATGACCTGACGTCTGTAAGTGAAAGGGCAACATTGAATTTCAGTAAGAGGTCTTTCTCTTAGTCTTGAGTTGAAAGTAAATGATTTTTCTTCTACAAGGAGCTGCTATTTCATAATGTCATTGAAAACTAATTAATATATTTAAAATTTCAGGGAATGCTTCTATGTGAATGAAAAGCCTTTATAAGTGTAGCATCCCATCAATACTATGATAAATAACTCCTAGATTCCTTTTATTGTAATATATAATTATTGGCATTCCTTTTAAACAAACTTATTCATATTTGGTCTTATCCACATAATAGCATAATGTTAAAAAAAATTTTTTTGCCGCAAGCGTGTTGTTTATTTTGTCATTATGTCTGACAGACAATATGATTACTATAAAGCCTCTCCAAGAATCCTAAAATTAACTTGCTTAATCAAGTTAAACCAGTTTTGAGCTGTATTCCCATGATGATTAAACATGGTTACAAACAATACTTTACAAATCTACAATTCCATTAGTTTGGATACTCACTCCACTGACAGATCATAGACTTTTCATGATGGTTTTCATGAATAGTTTTGGCCTAGAAATTCATCACCTTGTAGTCAGCCTTCTGTGGATGAACTTTAGGAGCACAGGAGGTGGTGGTCGTATCCTGGATGTCAAGTGTTTATTGGTTGTATGACTGTAAGGAAGTCATTTCACCTTCCTGGACTTTGACTTCTTCAGCTATACAGTGAAGGAATTGGGCTATGCAGTGACCTCACAGGTCTCTTCCAGTTCTGAAAGACTGATTCTAACTCACTTAACCTCTCTGAATCCCATTTCCTTGTCTTTAAAATATCTGCCTCAGGTTTATTGTGAAGAAAGTATTTCACAAACCTCAGAACATATTAATAATTATTATTAGGTTGGCTGACCCTCAGATAATAGATGAACATTCTGTTATTGGTCCTTTTCAGCATGGTAAGATCCAGCAAAGCTTACACTTAGCCGATTTATCCCTCTAGAACAGAGGTGTCAGACTGATGGGGTGAATCAGATTAAAATTTAATTGGGAAATATTTACCCAGGTAAATAATTCAGTACAACATAGTTGATACTAGTTTGTGATTTTCTAAGTCAGTAAGCGACCTTCTGGGACCCAGTTCTATGTGAGTTTGATACTACTGTCCAAGAGCCCTACTTTGCTAGTATGTCAGTTTAGGATTTCAGTGAATTAGAAATGAGAAATAGGTTCCACTTCTGGGAGCCAAGGTGGCAGAGTGAAAAGGTAGTTGCTCTCACTCTCCCCTATCAACCTCTAAAACCCAGAAAATATCACCCCAGAAAAAAACCCTGGAACAGCTGAACTAGAAGAGAGACGGGGAGCAGCAGTGAAGCAGCCCAGCAAACGGGTCTCCCAGTGCCTCAGCAAAAATAAGGGAGGCAGAACTACAAGGGGCTCCAGGATGATAAATACCCTGTGGCATTCATCTGAAAGGAGGTAAAGAAAACAACCTAAAGGCTTCCTAAAGCCCCAGCCTTGCTGGTTCCAGCCCAACATCAGGTGAGCTGTCGAGCCCTGCAGCCTCCAATTGTGAAGAAATCCTGAAGCCCAGGTGGCAGAACAGGCAAACACCAACACCTGGACCTCCGAGTGCCTCAGTGAGGGTGGGGGGAACCGGTGGAAACCAGCTCAGAAAACCACCAGGTGCCTCGCACTCTACCACAAAGGAATCTCCCAGTGCATTAGCAGAAAGAGGGAGACAACACTGCAGGGGCCCCAGGCAGATAAACACCCTGCAGCACCCATCTAAAAGGAGCTGAAGAAAGCTAAAGGAAAGGAAAAGCAGGCCTAGAAAGTTCCAGCCTTGCTGATTCCAGCCCAACACGAGGTAAGCTGCCAGAAACCTACAGCCTCCAATTGCCAACATAAGAGGCCCCAGCACACAAAGCCAGTGACCAAGACCTAGGCTCCCAACACAAGAAGCTTGGGTCAGTGCCCTCTGTTCCCCAGCAGGAGAGCTCAATCTCTTTAAAGGCCAGGGAATAAAGAAACACCATGAGTAAAAAGAAACATAATTCATATTATGAGAGAGTGAAGATCAAGACAGAAATTCTGAAGAGGACAACATTGTCAACAAACCCACATCTGCAACAACAAAAGGGAATATGAACTGGTCTGAAGCCCAAAAAGCCTTCTTAGAAGAGCTCAAGAAGGATTTTAATAGTCAAATGAGAGAGGTAGAAGAGCCCTTCAAAAATACAATTGGCCAATTGGAAAAAAATACACTGAAGAAAACAAGTCCCTAAAAAACACAATTGGCCAATTGAAGAAGGAAGTACAAAAACTAACAGAAGAAAACAATCTGTTAAAAACTAGAATTGGACAAATGGAAACTAATGTCTCTATGAGAGAGCAAGAATCAGTCAAACAGAAACAAAAAAATGAAAAAATAGATGAAAAGTAAAATACCTCATCAGTAAAACAACGACCTGGAAAATCGATCAGGAGAGACAATTTAAAAATTATTGGACTACCTGAAAATCATGATGAAAAAAAGAGCCTGGACAGTATCTTTCAGGAAATCATAAAGGAAAACTGCCCTGAAGTCCTAGAACCATAGATCACCACCTGAAAGAGATCCCAAATTGACAACAAGGAATATAATAGCAAAATTCCAAAATTACCAGATGAAAGAGAAGGTGCTGCAAGCAGCCAGAAAGAAACAATTTAAATATCATGGAACCACAGTCAGGATTACACAGGACCTTGCAGCTTCTACATTAAAAGACCAGGGCATGGGACATGATATTCCATAAGGCAAAGGAGCTTGGAATGCAGCCAAGGATCAACTACCCAGCAAAAATGAGCATCATTTTTCAAGGGAGGAGATGGATATTCAACAAAATAGGAGACTTCCAAACTTTCCTGATAAAAATTTGATCTTCAAGTACAGGACTCAAGAAGGACATAAAAAGGGGACAGAAAGATTCAATATGTTGTTAATAAAGGGGGTGCTGTTTAAACCCCTACAAGGGAATATGACACTTGCAACCCTTGAGAACTGTATTGTTATTATACCATGTTAAAGGAGTATACATAAAGAGGGTGGATATTAGTTGACTTTGATGTAATGATAAAAAAAATCTAATCAAGTGGGTTAAATGGATCCAAATAAGTGGATCAATCTGATCTTAGAAAATGTACTGAGAAAGGAGGAGGCAGACAAGGGTAAATTACATTACAGGAAAAGACACAAAATCCTATTACAGCAGAGGGAAAGAAGGGGGGGGAGCATTGTTTGAACCTTACTCTCATCAGATTTGGCTCAAGAAGGGCATAACATAATCAGTTAGGTATAGAAATCTAACTTGCCCTATAGGCAGTAGGAGGGAAAAGGGGAAAGAAAAGGGAGGGGGGAAAGAAGGGAGGGAAGAAGCAGTAAGAGTAAAGGGGAAGAAAAGGGAAAGGGATAATAAAAGGGGGAGGGACTGAAGGAGGCGGTGGTCAAAAGCAAAACACTAGTGAAGGGGAGAAAGAAGGGGGGGGGAAAGGATGGAGAAAAAGACACAGATAGTAATCATAACTGTGAATGTGAATGGGATGAACTCTCCCATAAAAGGAAATGGATTGCAGAATGGATTAAAAACCATAATCCTACAATATGTTGTTTACAGGAAACACATTTGAAAAAGAGTGACACATACAGGGTAAAGGTAAAAGGCTGGAGCAGAATATATTATGCTTCAGCTGAAGTAAAAAAAGCAGGGGTAGCAATCCTGATCTCAGACAAAGCAAAAGCAAAAATAGATCTAATCAAAAGAGATAAGGAAGGAAACTACATCCTGCTAAAAGGCACCATAGACAATGAAGTAATATCATTACTAAACATATATGCACCAAATGGTATAGCATCCAAATTCTTAGAGGAGAAGTTCAGGGAGTTACAGGAAGAAATAGACAGCAAAACTATACTAGTGGGGGACCTGAACCTCCCCTCTCTGCACTAGATAAATCTAACCACAAAATAAACAAGAAAGAAGTTAAGGAGGTGAATAGAACATTAGAAAAGTTAGGTATGATAGACCTCTGGAGAAAACTGAATGGGGATACAAAGGAATATACTTTTTTCTCGCAGTACATGGCACATCTACAAAAACTGACCATGTACTAGGGCATAAAAACCTCACAATCCAATGCAGAAAGGCAGAAATATTAAATGCATCCTTTTCAGATCATGACAGAATAAAAATTATATGTAATAAAGCGCCATGGAAAGATAGACTAAAAATAATTGGAAACTAAATAACCTAATCCTAAAAAATGATTGGGTGGAACAACAAATCATGAAAACAATCAATAATTTCATTCAAGAGAATGACAATAATGAGACAACATACCAAAACTTGGGATGCAGCGAAAGCAGTTCTTAG